TGTTAACATGTAAACGAGCATATTTATGATATAGAGAAGGAATTTTATATTTTGATTTTGACTAATCATCTACAAATTAACTAATTTTATATTATATGCTAAAGTTAGATTATATTGTAAATTGAATCTCTTCGTTCTTATATCATAAATTAAACATTAATATCTTTTCATTCTAATGTTTTAATCTTTTTTTCCATATTCTCTTTCATAATTTGATGATTTCATCAATAAAATGAATTTCTAAGTATAACAAATTTTTTTAAATATATTTCATCCGATATTTTAAAGAAAATTTTTATTTAATTTTTAATATTTACAGCAAATAATTCTAATTTGAAAAATTCATTATTTTAAAGTATATAAAAACTAATAATGAATGAAAATTCTGTAGAAAGTAGTATAATGTAATTAAATACACGTAATTTTAATAACTATTTATAATCTAGTCGAATTTATCTGTAAGCATAAAAATAATATTAATAATAATAATAAATAAATAAATAAATAATATCAGTTTGTTAGTTTTAGTTTTTTTTTGTTAGAGATTAGTCAATATTAGTCAATATTAGAATATTGACTAATTTTTCATATTCGACATGGAATATATAATTATTTCATCAAGACACTAATGTGATCTTATATAAACGATGTTGTTAATATTTGTGCACTTGACTACTTGTTCAGTTATTATTATTATTATTATTATTATTATTATTATTATTATTATTTGTTTATGTTTTTTTATTTTCTATTATTTTCTATAAATCTAGTACATATTTGTGTAATGTTAAATTACGTTTTAAAACTTTTGATATAAAATATAAGCGTTTTATAGTGATCATTAATAATTTACGTATTTCTACTGTTTTATAATGGAGAGAATGTTATAAAAAAAAAAATAGAAAAAATAAATTTCTATGTCAATATTTTACTGGAAATTTATATGATATATATATATATATATATATATATATATACATATAATATCAGGAACTTTCTAGTATGTATTTTTATTTAAATTTTTTTATAATATTAGCAATAATTATAATGAACACATAAATTAATTAGCACGATGAATTAAACAAAAAAAAAATGTTTACTATAACTTTGTTTATGCTTTCTGCTTCTATTTCATTAGTTGGCCTAGTCATATAATATGCCACTCTGCGTTTGAATAAACTAAAATAAACATTAACAAAAAAGAGAGTAAAAGTATATTTAAACAAATTGTTCTTATTTGAAAACAAATTTCTAGCAATAGAATAAATGAGTCGGTCTAAGATTAATTTTTTATTGTACCCCATCACCAACAGAGGCTTAAAAAAGAATTAAAGCTTTCTGGATAAAATCTAAGGCTTTCGTGACTACCGAGAGCCAGTGCTGAGGTAAGAGAGCGTGAGAGCAGAAATTCATGCGTGACTGTTTTCTAGTTGTAGGCACTCGACCAAAGGAAATTCATGCGTGACTGTTTTCTAGTTGTAGGCACTCGACCAAAGGGCTCGCAATCCCGTCGATTCACCAAAACCCTTTCATTTCATTATATCGACAGTTTTATCACTTTCGATTAAATAGAAAATTCACAAATTTTCTCTTAGCGCTTGTCGAAACTATAACATTACTTTATTTGCATATTAAATCGTTAATATTTGAAATTATGTGATTGAGTAATTCGTGAGATCATTCGTGAGATGTACTATGAGAATTCAAAGATTTATTAAATCCGTATAAATAATTTTATTGATAATAAATACTTGCTATTGGATCTTCTATAGTAATATTACGACTAATGTTAATAAATCTTCAATTTATTTCCTTATGGTAAAGTATTTATAAGAAAGAATATAATATAATAAAGAACCAATTATATTTTTATTTCAATAACATAATTTAGATTTTTATGATTTTATTAAGAAAGCAAAAGTAGAAATAATATATATATATATATATATATATATATATATATATATTGTTTTTAACGGTATTGAAATCATTATGTTAAAATAATAAACAATAAATGCATAGTTTTGCATTAATTGTCAGATTCTTTGTTACTTGTTACTAATTATCTAAATAAAGCGTTGTTATTATATTGCAGCATAAATATCTAACGGAATCGATTAATTAATAAAAAAAAATGACGTAATTTTCATTTTTCTTGGTTATTCGTTTTTTTATTTCGTTAAAATGATAATTTATAGAAATCTATTTATTGTATAAATAATAAGTTTATTTCATTTTAATGAAACAAACAATAATAATAACAAAGAAAAATGATAAATGATGTAATTTATAAATAATTATAAAATTATATAAGGTGAAATTATTAAATGTAATATAAAGTGAAATATTATCATTTTTAATTTCTTTATAATCATTGTTTTTAATCCGATTTTTATCAATTTTACTTTGTTAACAGACATTTTATGAATATATTTTCTCAATTGATAAAAAATCGAATAATATCGTTGCCATTTATATGTACAATACAGAGAGTATTAAATAAATAGTATTTATTGTGTATTTATTATCCACGCACATACGCAGGCACAGACGTACGCAAACGCACGCACACCTAGATTAGTATACTTTATCCATATACCAAGCATCAATTTGTTGTGACGAAAACAATATGGCATATGTACAATAATAAAAAATGAAAACGACTTTATCTTACGGTAGGACTATACTTTGGAAGAAAATCGATTACACCTTGTCTTTTGCCCTATTTGTTTTTGCTTAATTTATTGCTTTATCGTCTACGATCATGTTTCTTTTTTTTCCTTTTTTTTTTTCTATAATGATAATTTAATTGCTCTAAATTCAATATAATTATCACTTCGGGAATTTTTTTTTAATTAAATGTAAAGGTGTTGTTTCATTTTTCATCATTATAACATACTCTTTAGTATATTGGATTGAAAAAATAATTCAATTTTAATAGCAACATATAGACAGTTTTAATATAAAACGGCCATGGAATTTACAAAATCCAATATCATTATTTTTCTCGAACTTGGAATACTTTTTAAATATGTCTGCATTTTAAAGGTTCAATGACATTGGTAATATTAACCGTTTCTGTTCTACTATATGAATTTTCAGCCCCTTGCATGTCTTCAACCAACGATCCAATGAATTCCAATGATATTATGCAGTACACGATTTCCATAAAAAATCAACCTTATCTTGTTACATTTACCAGTTAGTTGGTGGAAAAATGGAGGTTAATCCCGAATGGATAATAATTATTTCTTTTATGTCTCTTCATAATATACGTAACAAATGTGGGTATTGAGCGTGAATGAGTTATGTATGCGTGACACTAAAATGTAGGCTGATCAAATATTGTAGTATCTTTTTCTGATTTTGTTTTCTTTCCCCTACCTATTTTGTTTTTTATTTTCTCTTTATTTTCTATACCCTCATTCTGTTTTAATTTAATATTTTCATTTTTTTTAATAAATTTTTCTCTTATCTTATCTTATTTTCTTCTGTAAAATCTAATATATATATATATATATATATATGTGTGTGTGTGTGTGTAACTTATTTTTATATTTATGTATAATATTTTATCCTTATAGTTCAACAAAATTATATAATTTTTAATAAATTTATATATATATATATATATATATATATATATATATATATATATAAGATGACACGCTCTAATATAATTTTTTTTACTTGTCGTGTAGAGTCATATGGTAAAAAAAAAAATAAAAAAAAATATTTTCCCTGCAATTATAACGTAAAAATCTTTATTTTTAAGTTTGCTAACTAAATATATAATTATGAACATTAAATATATTTTAAAATCTAAATTAGATTCTTGTATTTACATTGTTTTAATCTTGGGATTAGATCATTTTAAATTATTCGATGAACAAAGTATATAGTTTATATATGATGTCTAGGATATATATTATATATGGTGTATACAGTACAGGTATATTAATAATTTATTGCAGGAAAAATAATAAGCAAAAATTACCTGAATCGTCATTCAATGCGGCTCATCTTTACAAACATTTCAATTTATTTTAACTCACTATGCACAATGAAGTAAAATGTATTTGCTCACAGTCCAGCATATAATATTCAAAACGAAAACAGAAGCAGATAAATTGCTAATTCCGGCAATTAAATATAAATTAAAATCGCTAAATTATTAATTTTAATAGAATTTTAAAAGTAGTTTAGAAATTATTGAAATTGTAAAAGTATTAAATTGAAAAACATCTTTTACCGATATTCGACTAAATATTCTCATCGACTAAATAATATCTAAATTCAACAATTAATAAATTTTCTCTCAATCTCTTCAACGATATTCTATCAGTTAATATTAATTTCAAACAGTTTACCATCCCATAAAATATTCTCAACCCATTACTTAATCTTATCAATGCCGACTCTTATACACCGATGAACATATCAAATTGAATTATTCACTTATATTCCGCGAACATTTAAGCATTTGATCAATTGTTTCATTATCACCGGCCTAGCATCCCTACATTCTTTTATTTGGTCCATTCCCTGTATGCAACATATCCTTAAACTGCCTAATTTTTCATCTTAAAGTAGCGAGTTACTTTTACGTCGGATGTACTTTCCAAACTTTAAAAAGTCACAATCCCACGCTCTTAAAAGCCATACACCTTCACTCCAATACGACCATTATCAACAAAGATTAAAATGGAAAGGCCAATAGTACCCCAGACTCCCGATTCCCTTCCAATTGTCCTTCCTTCTCAAACTTCATACATACATATATACCAGACGTTCATTTTCCAAAGTACGTAACGACCGCGCGCGCGATCAAAACTTTTTCAATTCCCGAGGAAGAAAATCCCCGAGGCGTAACGAACACAATCGGACACTCGAGGGCGATGCTTATACTGGAGCACCTTCATCGGAAATCGCAGTCTTACGTCCCGCGCTCGGGCAGTCGCGTGTATTACCGCGTCCGCTGCCCACCTGGCCGCCCTTACCCGTGGTCGATGTCCGACATTTTTCCGAGCCCGCGCGCACCGGCACTATCTTCTCACGCGAGCCACTGGCCGTTTGCCCTGCGCGCACCCACATACGCCTATGCACGCATACATACATACACACACGCACACGCACACGCACACATATATATATACCTTTATATATATATATATATATATATATATAGAGAGAGAGAGAGAGAGAGAGAGAGAGTTTTATGTGTGTGTGTCCCCTCTGACTACGAACGCCGACCAACTCTCACCAGCCATTGTCACGTGGCGGGTTACGGCCTACGTCGAGGAAATGAAAAGCGTAGGAGAGGCTACCGGCAGTGGTGGTGGCGGCGGCGTCTTGAGTCAAGGGGGTGGCTACTCCAGGGCTTGGCTACGCAAATTTGACGGCTAGTGGAAGTGGTGGAGGTGGGAATCGAAAGAATGTATGTAGGCCAGTCGAGCCACGGTATGTAGACGTTCGCGAGTGCCGTCAAACGGTTGGTTGGGACGGTGGGTGGGAGGTAGGGCGATTAGGGTCGGGAGGGGGGGGGACACTTTTATGTTTCAACGTGGCCGAGTACTAATCGCTATGTGAATCATTGTTTGTCCGATTTCTTGATGGGATTTTACTCGTTGTCCGCGTTTTTGCTCGCAGATTTCGAGAACTGATATTTTATATTGAACGATAAAACGAACGCTTTACTTTTTAGATGTTAAAGTAAGATGTTCGTGGCAAAAAGAGTTTCTTTGGGAAGATAAATGTTGGATATCTACTTTCAAATGCGAGGTTTGTAAAATCTAACCTGCCTGAACTATAAATAGCCGGAAAAAAAATGTAGGTTACGATTTTTTGGATAAGAATTGTCCGTCTGCGTGGAATTGGTAAATGCTTGTATGGATATGTTATGAGCGACTTTATCGAGATAATTTTGCTTGGCTAAGCAATCAAACTTTTTACCTAATCTGTCACATTCTGTTTCTTACTCGTGCGACAGCGACGAATTGTATTTGACACATACAATTATATTTATATTTATTTATAGATATGATTAAATTTTATATACAAGTTTAATTATTATTTGATAGTTTAGAAGATATTTTTTAAACAAGTATTGTTTCCCATATTGAATATTTGAATGAAAGAAATCTCACAATTTCTTGTAAAGTAAGTGTTTTTATTGTTTTTTGTTTTCATATTTACTAGGTGTGTTAGAAATTGAACAATTACATATAATTGTTATCTGATGGTTTAACTTTTTCAAATTGAATATTACTTAAACTAATATGATTATTATATTATTATAAGCCCATATTATACATTCATAATTCCTTAACTAATTTTTCTAACTTTCTGTTTTTATTTTATTTTAAACGAAAATTCTATTTCGCATTATTAAAAAGAAAAAAAGAATTCTCGTTCAATTTTATCAATTTTTGATCGGATCTTTATGTCAGACAAGACTTGATATCTAGTAAAAAAAAAAAAAACAAAAAAACAAAAAAAAACAAAAAACAAAAAAAAAACAAAAAAACAAAAAAAAACAAACAAACAAACAAAATAAATAATAATTTAAAAATAAAAATACAATTAAAATTCTTATTTCGATAAATTATAACTTTTAATAACTCTTATATTAAATTACAAATTATGTAAGGCTTATCATTATATCAAGCTAAAGTTAGTTTCTTAAAGTCATCGCGTCAGCATATATCAACATATATTTGTGGTTATAGTGAAAAGGGTAATTTATCAATTTTGAGTTATCAATAATGATTCCCCCAGAATTATTTAAGAAATTAGTTTGCTCGCAAACCAAGCCAATCAAATTGAAATAAGAAACGGGTACTAATGATTTGATAGGAGAGTTGCGTGATTTAATTTTCGATATATCATTTTTCAAATTAACGTTCTTCTAGCCCAGGGTAAATAATTACCTTTATTTAGAATGTTCAATACAATTAAATTATTAGTAATGTATCGTGATATAATGATTGATATAATTATCCGGAAAAGAGTAGTAAATATTTATAAAAATAATTATACGTAAGTAAGAATCAATAATGTAGGAAGTATATATTTTGTTATCAAATGTTAAACAAATGTGTCTGTTAATGCGTGTACATTAACAAATACGCATACGAATGCGCGAAATCTTTGTATCTATTGGCTTGTAAAAGGTCAGAAAATTCTTGAAGATAATTTTATTGGCAACATTTGTGGAAATTCTGACAATGATAAACTTCCAAGCGTTTTCTATCCATCAAATAGATCATAGCGGAGAAAGAAAGCACGATGGAATATATATAAAAAAGTTGTGTTCTGTACAGTAAAACGAGCGCTTGGAAGAAAGTCCGAGGTGAGGTCGAAGGAACACGGGCTGACCGGAGGTTTATGGTTTCCTTAGATTAGCATACGCCTGCACGCAAGCCAGACATTCAGGAAGACGATAAGGGAGAAAGTGGCCACCGACTCTATCCTAACTCAACTCCTTCTGCCCCTTCTGTCCCTCCTTATTTCGGCTACCCTAACTTTTCACAGGGGAAGAAGTGCGGTGCGTAAGCCATGCGCTACTTGTATCGATTCGTTATCATTGTCGCCGTTCGCCGATTCTGACATCCCTTCGTACATCTGGCGCAAAGTCCATTTGCAGAAGTATTATTTCATGTGGGCTTTTAATTATTTGCATATCTAGTCCTAACGAAATACAGATCTTTATACTCTACTTATTTTTATTAATGTTAATTATTTTATATTAATGTTTGTTAATTAATATTTGTTCAAGAATAGACACGATTCTTTTAGAAACAATTTTCATTACCAATGATGTGAAATAGTAATATAGAAATCTGTTTTGAGGTCAAATAAATTGAAATAATGCTTATTGTATATTTGCATGTAAATTTCTAGAAAGATTTTAAAGTAATTTTAAAGCATTTCCTATGTGAAAGTACATCCTCCATTACTTTTGTCATTTTTAAGTTATATTTTTAAATAAAAAAATTATCCCTTATTTAATACTATTTGATCAATTAATTAGTTTATTTAATCTGTTATTTAATGAACTACAAGTTACTGCTTATGGTTATCTAATAAAGTGGCATATTAAAGTATTATTAATACTATTATTAATAATATTCAAGAATTAAATTATTATTTTTGTATTATTAATATATATCTATATAAGAATTATATAGAATTATATTATATAAGAATCATGTATTATTATATATATTCTTCTTATAATATTACAATATATTGCTGATGATTTTTCTTATTTTTGTTAAATTTATATATTTATTGTGCAACAGTTTCATATATTTGCATTTAATATAATACAACGGAATCTTTATATGCGTTTTCGTTACGCTGAGATTATAAACGAAAACCTTTGAAATTCTTTTACTTTGAAAGATTTCTTTTGTTTTTCGACACACATACAATTTGGTTCAGTGACAAAAAAAAAACTTTTTAAAATAATTTTTCAAATAATTTTACTAAGCAATACAATATTGTTTGCCCGGCAATGATGTTTTTTTTTTTTTTTATTATTATTATTCTTGATATTTATCATTTTTTAAGTTAATACATAAAATTTTTCATTTTTATTTTTAATTTGACATTTTATTCAATATTAAATGAGTAAAACTGTGAAAATTATTGTTCTATTAGTAATAACTATCACTATTATCTTAGTTAGCGTTTTAAATACTTCAATTGTATTATTATTAAATTGAAAACAAAAATGAATATGCATTTTTAAACAACAAAACAATGAACAATAAACATTTTATAAATTATTTTTTAAGAAATTATTTCAAATAAGATAAAAAAAATAATAGATTAAGTTTTAACAGCTTAACGGGCACTGTATAATTTTTATGAAAATAGCGATAGCTATGCTAATGAAGTTTATTAATCACAAATTCACTATACGTATTATTATTACAATATACATATATTTTTCAGTTCACTGCATGAATTAACTACGGTCATTATACCCTATTGCATAAAAAAAAAAAAACTTTTGTTTTTTACACGATTCATGGTATAGTTTAGGTAAAATTAAAAGGTCAATAAAAGGCAGGTAACGACAATATACAATTTTTATTTTTTTTTTATAAAAAGCATCATGTAGGTAAAAAGTTGATATTTCGATGTTCGATTTTGGCGAGTCATATTTACAAATTTGATGAGTTACTTAGCGGTAAGCTTCTTTAAAAAAAAAATTACAATTCTCGACAAACAAAATTTACTATAAAATATCAACATAACATCCAAGTTCTAAAACTTGGTAAATTCATTATCATTTAACACATATACATTTGTATACATAACTATTACAATTATATTTATGATCTGACTATATTAAAAATTACATTACTTATGCAAATAAATAAATCTATAATTCTGTCTTACACTAATCGTAATAGAAAAGACTAAAAGTATGTACAAAAATTCATTCGTATCCTTCGTAGTTTATTTCTTCGCTCCCTCGGTTTTCCCCTCCTTATCCGATATTGTCAGAGCTCCGTTGTCTCAACGTTCTGACCAAGTGGATTATTTAGCATATGATTATGGCCGCGATTAACAGATGACTTATGAATTCCATTGCTTCTTTCGTTTCCATCGTCGGTCGTTGTGTCTGCCGTTGAAGCCTCCACGCTATTACCAAAAATATTGAAATTATGGTACTCCTTCAATTTTATGACCTTAACCGATTTTATGAATAATTTTCAACTCCAAACGAAATCATTGGAATTAATGCTTTATTATAGAAAATGTGCCATTAATAATTGTTTCTTATGTACATCCTATGTACATATTTGAAAGAAAAAAAGATATATTAAATCGTTACTTTTTCTTTGAAGCATTATTGCTAATTAATTAATTTGTTTAACTCTTACACAAATAAAACTCATAATATTTATAGTGTTTCTCAAATAATTATAAGTTCAACGCACAATCTCCATTAGATTTCAAAATTTACAATTTGTCTGTCGTCATAAATTATTAGCATAATCATTAAGAGGCAATTACAGACACATAAAAATAAATAAACAGCAGTAAAAAGCAATAATACCTGAAAATGGAATTAACTCGTTGTTGATTATAAAACGGCTTGTCTTCCGTTGTTATATCGTTCGTATTAACTTCACTTATAGTTCCCTCATTATTTACTGCATTTTCATCAAGTGAATCCCTCTCGGAATTATGGCTATAAAAGAAAAGAAATATAAGAACGTAAGCCGTTCGGATTAATTTTCATATTAAATATGCTTCAATTGGATTACCTAATCGATTCGTCGCTTTTGAACCACTCGTTTTCATAAGCGTGCATCCATATTGGATTTGAACCTTCTACACTATGCTTGTTTGTATTTGGAACTCGTCCAGGTCCTCTTAAGAATTCAGAGTCTGATATGCCTACAGCACCATAAGAATAATAAATAACAAATGATACTGTACTAAGTAGTGTATGTTAGTACATTTAGATCCCTATGTAGAGCTTATCCAGTTATTAAATGTGTGTGTAATGTATTTTTAATGAAGATTTAACATAAGCTTGCTTATTTTTTAAGGATGTTGAAGGGAGTGCTCAGTATATATAATACTTAATTGTCAAATATTTAAAGTACATAGTTGAATTAAATAATATAATACTTATAATTACAATTTCGTAAAAGTATAGAATAATAAATTTGAGTATAGTATAATGGAGAACTGAATTAAATCTACTCGATCAAAGTAATAAAACAGCGTTTAAGCGTAAGAATGAACAGTGAAAAAGAAAAAAAAGAACAAATTTTTTCACAACAGTTATTGCATAAAATTAAAACTTTGAAAAATATATTCGCTGAGACAGAGAACATGTTCTTTGAATCACGCGATCATTATAAAGCTCTTGATAGTATATCATTATATTATTTTAATGTTAAGATATTGAAATGTTCATATATATTATTAATAAATTCAGCATTACTTGAAAATTAATATATGAAATCGGAAATTGCAAATCTCTTTAATCCTTAGAATATTTTTATGCGGTCAATGTATAATTATAATTTTCAAATGACAGAACATGCTCGTAAAAAATAAAACAAACAAATTTTACTTCCAAATTGAATATTAATTATACAGTGTAAATTTTCCTAATAAATATTTTTCAAACGAATACAAATAAATGTATTATTAGCCTTCTTTTTTAATAAAAAAAATATATAGCGAATCTTTAATCTGACTAATCCCAGTTCGTAGATAGATAGATAGATAGATAGATAGAGAGAGCGAGAAAGAGAGAGAGAGAGAGAGAGAGAGAGAGAGAGAGAGAGAACGTTGTAATCGAAATTTTGAAAAGTACGAAATTGCTTTTAAATTAAATTATATTTATTTAAAATTATGCTGAAATATAATGACATAATGTAAATAAACTTAAACGAATATAAAATTAAATTGATATTTCTATAAACAAGTGAGTTAATTCACTTATCTAATCTAAGATTCAATATAATGAATATAAAAGATATTATAATTTATAAAACATTATGCTTATCTATGGATTATTATATACAAAAACAAAAATAAAAACAAAAAAAAAACAAAAAAAAAACAAAAAAAAACCAAATTCAATAAATATAAGGAACGAAAAATGAATAAATCTAATATACTATAAATTAAAAAATTGTCATGTGTACCAATTAGTAACGATAGTTATATAATGCATGAATTCTGAACAATAACATTTCTTTAAGCGTACATCTAGAATAAATGATGAAAGTACAGTTGATAGATATAAAGAAGAAGCCAGGCCTATAGTCAACAAAGAAGACAACCGTCTATGTAATTTTGTCGCTACAGTAGGCAATACAATGGAAACTTACGTCGCCGACGGGATTAGCTACGTAAGGCAAACTTATGTCGTTGAAATAGACGACATAAAACAAACTTATGTCACCCCGATATAAAGGGAATATAAGAACGAATTAGTTTTTTAAGATTCCAAAGTTTATAGCATATGTATTTAGACATTGTGCGGCACAATTAGGAAACGTATGGCACTTGATTAATTTTTTTGTATGATTATAATCGACCTTGCAAGAGTATTTTTATGCTATTTTACAATTGTTATAATGAAATTATGAATGTTTAATACGAAATTGTATAAATAGAAAAAACACATTAATGCAGGTATTATGTATATGTAAAGCAAACTCGTGTCTAGATAATCGTGCTGAATAATCGTTTATTATTTTTTCGTTCGTAAATAAACTGCCGAATTATATCTGATCTCTGTGATAAATATTCATTATATAAGCGTAATAAAATCGAATGAAATTTCGTACTCAATAATTCTAATGAACACAGACTTTCATTTATCTTATCCCAGATATAATCTAAAGTCAAATAATATGTCGTGCAATAATACAAACGTAATATTTGTGCAGCCAGATAGGATCGGAAATTGACACTTTAAGAACAAAGCTCAAAAGCTTTGATTAAACTTACCGAATGGCGTTGCATTAGCAGCTTTCAATTGTCTTTGATACGAGGCTCTCTGCGACAGACACAATCCCACGCAGATTACGAGGAGCCCAGTAAGGAAGAGAGTGAGGGTGGCGAGCCAGAGGGTCGTGCCAGCTTGCTCGAGCTGGGCCAGGGATTGGGGCTGGGCGGGTTGGGTGTCCAGAACATTAAAGTCTTTGAAAAGGGCATCGAGCTTCTCGATGTTACGATCGACGAGCTCGAGCACTTGCGAGACCTCGAGGATCGAATTATCCTTGCGATTCACGAGATGGAGGTACAGATCCGTACGTGTTCGGTCCACCGAACCATCCTGGTTCTTGTGGATTTTGTATTCGTCTACGTTTACGATGGCGCCCGTTACATTGCCCAGCGATCTATTTATATATATTCAAGGATTGTTGGTTATGGCACTGATTTAATTATTTGGAGAATTTGAATTTAAGCTATTGAATAAGTTAGTCTTTATTTCTGTATTTTTACTTGCTATAAATATTGATTTATGAATGAAAAATATAAAGGATTATATGCATGTACAAGCACATACAAATAATATATTTCCTTTTCAAATAATAATCATATTTGAATTGAAAGATTTAATGTAAATATTACTAATTACGAATTTTATAGTACCACATTTTCTCGATTACTTAATATCAATTTATCAATAGATTAGATTTCTATATAAATGGATTTTTTAATTATTTATAGAATTGAAGAATTAATTATATACGTATGTACAATTAATATTATCTTTATAATAGTTTTCAAAAATTATTTTAACATGCTAAAGATTATAAAATATTGTGTATTTATGAAAAATAATTCGTATTGATATATTTTTTCAATGGTCAATGGAAAGGCATAAAGAAAAATAATCCGTTATAATAAATAAGTTTAATTATTAAACATTTTAATGTAATAACTGACTTACTCTCGAAAATATTCGATTCTACTACGAATTTCTGGTGGATGTTGCCTTAGAACAAATCTTACTCGTTGATCCTCTCTAAGCAAATAAATAAAAACCCTTGCTGTATCGTTAAGTCCATCGATATCATTAGCTGAAACCTGTAAATTTTTAATTTTTAACGATTACAAAATTTCAACTTTAATTACATATACATATTATATAAAAGAAGTATTACCATAAAATCAAAGTATCCCTTCATTCTAGGCTGGGGATCAAAATTTAATGTTACCGCACCAGTCTTTTCATCAACTAAGAAGGGTTGTAACTGAATATTTTCGAAACCCTCCGTTAAAGTCATTTGTATTTTTCCAATTAAGTAATATTTAATTATTGAATTTTGTCCAATATCAAAGTCGAAAGCCTATAACATTAATTTATAATTAGATCATCAAGTTTCTTACTTAAATGGATAATCCTTTTTTTTTTTTTTTTTTTTTTTTTTTTTTTTTGACAACATTGTACCTTCACTTGCATAAATTCAGTTCCAAAATCAGCATCCGTAGTCACACCACCAGTAAAAATTCTATTGATAAATTTCGGTGCATTATCATTAATATCATTAACAATAATAATAACTTTTAGTAGAGTATCATCAAATTCATTGAAAATTGTTTGATTCATTGGAATCGTATTACAATCCTCTGTGGCTTTAATAATTAACTCGTATACTTCTTGAACTTCTCGATCCAATGAGTCAGTAGTCTATAAAACAAATTTAATCGACGATTAATGATATACATGACTAAGTAATTGTAAATTATTATTATATGTAATTCATCAATAATATAAATGCCATTACAAAATATTTTCAATATAATTGACAATAATATTAAGTAAATAGTAAATAAATATCTTTAAATTTCGCAATTTAAAGAATAAATAATTTTCTTAATCAACTAACTGCATCGGTAATTTTAATTTTTAATGAACAATCGTACAAATATTTTAAAGCAAGCTTAGTTAAATATATAAACATTAATATGTGGTTATTAGCATACGGTAAGCTCGTGAGTAGAAATATCAAGATCAAACAATTTCTCTTCATTTCCTCCAACAATGAAGTAACAAACTTTGGTAGGCGGATCGTCGAGGTCGCCGACCTCGTCCCTGTCAATGGTTTCCGGAAGTATAACTTTTTCATATTGCGGTGATTGCTCTTCTGTGAAATTCGCTTTATAGATATCGATTAAAAATTGCGGCTCGTAATCATTGATGTTCTTCACGTAAATGATAAGGTCCAGATCGGAACTTAATGGCGTCGGTGTACCCAAATCATAGGCCTCCACTCGTATCTTAAAGAAATAAATAGTTACAATCAATGCAAAAAATCTTTATCAATTTTACAAATAATGTGTCGCGTTTGATTGATTTGCGTAATAACAATAGCATTTAAGCAATATAAATTTAAATCGTTAATCGAAGCAATGTATTATTATAAAGTTATTATTAATTATTATTCACGTACATTAAAATAAATAATTTAGTTAACATTAGCTTATTGTACAAATTTATTTCAGCAAAATTTCTGTAACACCAAGATATATTTAACATCTTAGAAAGGGTAACACATTCATTATGATACTTCTAAATTACGAAATTTTAATAACGATTTAGGCAATACCTCGTATAGTTTTTGCATCTCTCTATCCAATGGTAACTTTAAGTAAATTATGCCTGTTTTATCATCTATCCTGAATGTCTTATGGTGGCCAGCAATGTCTTGCTTCAATCGAAAATGAACATCACCATTTGGACCAATGTCCGCATCTTTTGCTTGGACTTGAACAATTTCAGTTCCAATAGTAATATTCTAAAGGAGAATCGAAACAATTATATATGCTCATCTTAAGGATAAATTGACGAGAGAATGTCGTGTAAGTAAGCGAACCTCTAATACTCTGATGGTGACATTATGCATTGGATTTGTAAAAATCGGCGGGTTATCGTTGTAATCAGTAACACATACGTCCAAGTTAACGTGCACTTTGTTCGAAGGTTCGCCGAGATCTTTTACTTCGAGCTTCAATGAGAAATTGCCAAATCTACCGCGAAGGGAGTCGCTCGCTTTCAAACGAGCTGTCCAATAATCGGTTTGTTCCAATGTGAAGTAACCTTTAGAAAACAAGTTCCTAACGCATTAGGGTTTATGCTTTATAAGAACGACTTATGCAACATATTTTCTTATATTAGATGTCTTTAATTTTTTTAATTTTAATTTATTTTCATTTTCATTTATCGATTAATAATTTTTAACGTTATACCATGTAATTATGGTAGTCTGGAAAAAAAAAAAAAAAAAAAAAAAAACTTTATTCTTTGCGAGAAAACAAATTTAAAGAATAAGTTGTTTGTTACGAGTTAAAACTTAACAATTTACTGTCTAATGCTGTTATGCAGAATGATCGTATATTTGTATGTCTTTGACAAATAGAAAATTAAATTATCATAGAATTACTGATAATAATTAAAAATTACTCAACGAGATAATTGAAAAATCTGTTAATATCTAATAGCTGATAATCGGCAAAGAATTGTTATAAATTTTGTTTGAGCAAGAGGTGAGGTAAAGTATGAAAGAAACCTAATTCATTTCCATCGATCAGCCGAATAGTTGTCCGCCCATTGGGTGACTGTGGATTATCTTCATCTTCAGTTTTTATAAGAACAATACCATCTCTAATGTCATGAAATTCGGAAACCGTCGCACAACCTTCGGGTATCGCCACTTTCGGCACATTATCATTAACGTCACTCACCATTATTCTACAAAAGATTAATAATAGAATTGTCGGTTGTCCAAGCTTATTAGCCGCGGCTCTCTGCACTCAAAATTACTCACTCGATTTGCTTGAATGCGTTTCGAGATTCGCCAGTGGTATAACCGAACTGATAATTGTCCCAGGCCTCGATGACAAGTACGTAGGAGCTCTTTGTTTCCCAGTCGAGTGTATCAGCGACAGTTAATGAACCGGTTTCAGGATGAATTGCAAACTTTCCCTGTAATAAACGTAGGCTTCTCGTTACTTCGTTAAATTAAATGATCTAGTTGGAGTAGACGTCTTTTTTTTATTTTTATTTTTATTTTTATTTTTATCTTTATTTTTATCTTTATTTTTTTTTTTATTTTTTATTTTATTTTTCCTTTTTTCATTAATGTCTCCAAGTATGATGAAATAATTAGTTACCTAATACAGCAGATGATAATTTTTTTTTTTCTTATGATTTATTAGATACCTGAGAAGATATTCTATCGAGGAGGTAAGTGATTTTCCCATATTCGCCATTATCCGGATCTCTCGCTATAATTAAGGCGACTTCGGTGCCTATTTTTGCATTTTCCATCACAGTGACATTTGTAACATCCGTTATAAAATACGGATTGTTATCATTTTCATCGATTACTTGAACGAACACATCTGCTAGAGTGGACCTACCGTGAACAAAATTTTTGTGTGCAGTATGTATTGCGAGGAGTTTATTGATTATAATTCTTGTTGCATATATATATATATATATATATATATAAAATTTGCATATTTGATATTAAATATTAAAAATTTTCATAAAATTCACTCGACATTAGAGATGGAAAATTTCATGGCTTTAAGCTTAAAATACGGGAATAATATTTTATCTTGCAGATATATAAAGATAAAGTATGCGAGTATTTTACCTTGGAGGGATTCCAGAATCGGTAGCGCGAACTGTAAGGTTTAGCCAAGAATTAAGCTCTCTATCAATTTTATTGGCCACCGTCATTTCTCCGGTTTCCGGATCTAAATTGATCATTTGGGTAAGCTTACGTGGATTTTCCAAAGTATATGTAATGGTGCGATTTTTGTCCGCATCATCGGCAACGATACTAGCAATATGTACACCATTTTTACTATTTTCCGTAACGTATCGCCGATAAAAAGATCGTCGAAATTTAGGATTATTATCATTTTCATCTTCGATGACTACATTAAGAATAGCTGAAAATATATAAATATTTCATAACTATCATATAATATATGTACGTATATCTGTATGTATTGAAGTACAGATATTTAAGTATATATGCATTAGAATAGTTGTCATAATATCGTAATAAAGAATTTTTAAAAAGAAAGAAAAAAAAAGGAAATATTTCGTACATAAAATCTATTAGTATTCATTAGTTTATGAGTAGATAAGATATGCAAAATTGTTTCTCATATATTCCACCAATCCTTGTTTATTAATTAATTTATACATTTTTCTTATTGATAATTTGTAATGACACATACATACTCAATGGAAGATGTACCGATTGAAAGAGCTTTACCGAATAGTAAAACTTTAACTTCCAAGAGAAGTTTCAAAATTTAAATAATTACCAGATGCTGTTTGAATGCCTTTAACGGCTGCTAAATCTTCCACTACCAAGCCCAGCCGTATTGTCTCAACTATTTCTCTGTCCAGTAACTTTACAACCCTTAGAAGTCCGTCCACAGCATTTAACTCTAAAGCAGCGAGATAATCGTATTCTTGAATGCGGATTAGCGTGCCTTCCTCGTTTCTTGCTTCTGATGAATTTGGATCGATCCTGTAGCGGAGAATCGGCGCGATATCAGGATCATTTGCAACAATACGATGCACGTAAGCTCCAGCCTAAAGTCCAATAGTATGTTTAATTCAATATATTTTTACTTCAAAGCTTTGTTTAGTTAACAATATCAGCTCCTTAACTATCTCGGGATAAATTTTGAATATAGAGATCGTGGATATAATGCTTAATAATGCATGATTTTTTCATTAATCGTTCTTAAATGGGTATCCCTTTAGCTTCAAAAGTCACCTCTCATTATCGATATTACTTTAGGAATTAAGAATTTTTTTTTCTTTAAAATTAGAATAAATTGCATGCATTAGAAATAAACTTTTTAAATAGTTTTTATTCTTATAACAAAAATTGGTTAGAAAATAAATTAATATATATTTATATATTTAAATTTTTTTTTTTTATTTTTTTTTTTTTAAATAAATATAAGATATCATTTTATCACGTTTAAAGAGCTCAAAGAATGTAAAATTTTATTGTAAATACCTGAGTATTTTCTCGAATAGTAACTGTACCAGGATCAACAAAAATAGGCTGTTTATTATTTACATCGATAATGGTGATGTTGACGAGAACTTGGGCAGATCTTTGTAATTCAGTGCCACTGTCTATTGCAAGGACGTTTAAGCTATATCTTGTGGTTTTCGGGGACGTCAAATCCGGATCTAAATTAGATCCTCGTGCCACTCTGATTGTTCCAGTTTCCGGCTCAATTACAAATTTATCGTCAGCACCACTTTGAATTCTATAAACGATTTTGTTGTTAGGCGAAGAAAGATCCTTGTCCCAAGCCTGAACCTGTTTTATTTATATATATATATATATATATATATATATATACACACACATATATTTAATTTCCATTAGTCAAATAATAAAATGATCTTGTGCGATATATCTAGTAAAAATTATAAGAGCATCGGTAATACCAAATTCTTTATTTATTTATTTATTTATTTTTTTTATCAAAACTGATTGTTGTAATTTTCATTATACTTTCTTTGAATCGAATTTCTCTTCGATCTAAGGAAATTATCATGAAACTTGATAAGAAGTCAATGATTTCATAATACGTGTCCCTTATAAGCTATATTTATTTATACATTAATATATTTATAATCATCTTTAAAATCATCATTATAGATTGAAAATCAATTAAAATGTGATTAAAATGAATTGGGATGTCGACCGATTTTCGAATCAAGCGATTACATTATTCAAAGGAATGTACGTTATTGATAGGAAATTTATGTGGTTTCCCAACTTCTCTAAATACCTGCAGGACACTAGTACCGCCGGGCAAATCCTCGGGTACGTTCTTGCGATATAGCGATCTCTCGAATTCCGGTGCGTTATCGTTGACGTCCTTGAAATAAACTATCAGTGGCACATCGGAGTTAAGACTCGGCAGTCCGAGGTCCGTCGCCCTAACGGTCAACCTCAGTGACCGGACAAACGCGTCGGCGCGACCTAGTGCTTCAAAGTCCATCGGTGCCAGGGGCGTGACGATGCCGCTTCTTCGGTCGATCGTGAAGTTAGCCGAAAACTCGCCAGGCAGGATCGTGTAGACGATCTCGCTGTTGCGCGTGCCGTTGAGGTCGATGTCAAAGGCCTCGAGAACGACCGGCGTGTCGAAGAACTCCACGTTCTCCAGCAGCACCGCTTCGTATTTATTTTGAAGAAAGGCCGGCGGGTTGTCGTTCACGTCCTCGATATTTACCAGCAGCTGGGCGGTGTTGCGGTTACCCTTACCAAGGTCGTCGCGGGCCTCAACCGTGAGGAAGTGGCGCGAGACGAGCTCGCGGTCGAAGGATGTGCCCGGCTCTCTCACGGTTATCACGCCCGTATTATAATTCAAGGTCAAACTGAAAAATATCGCGAGAGGTTTTGTTGTATGAAGGTCCAGCCATTATTATTATTATATTATAGTAATTGAATTTCTTTTGTTTATTGACGGCTGTAGTTTAATATTTCTTCTTTAATTTTCCTTTTGCCATTGAAAAGCATAATGCATGTGTATGTTACTTAATTATACACTAACATACGAAATAAATAGGATATTTTATTAAGATTTACTAACGGATAAAATCGTCTGTGATTGCGTCCGTGATTTCCAAGTGTATGTGCGCGTATATCATTTCAATTTAAAAATATATAAACTCTAGAGTCAAATATGAATTTACGAAATATGTAAAATATGAATATCGATCGCATATCTGTCAATAATACCTTAATCTAGGTATAATCATAATTAAATCTATAATACGAATATACTTTAGATATGTTAATTTTAAAAAAATCTTTGAAATATTACGCATTTAAATCATACTAGCACTGATTTGTGCATTGCGTAAATGTATTTAGATACATATTGTCAAAATGAGCGTAGGTTATTTGAATGAATTTAATTTTTGTCATCGATTTTAAGTCTCTTCTCAACTCCTTAGGGTATCGAGATATTAAAATCCGAACTGATTATGATTTAATAAGCGGTATGTGGTCGGACTCCGAGAATAGTTTTAAAAAAGTCCTTAATAAAGTGGATTATTTTATTAAATTAGTTAAATTATTTTGTATTTGAAAGATTACGTACGCATGAGCGAGACTTCCACCAAGATTTGTGTATCTAATCCCATTTGTGCCGAAATAACTGCTATCCTGGTCAGAAGCTTGGACCCAAGCAATCGTCGTGCCGACCTCGCAATTCTCGAGTACGGAAACCTTGTAAGTGCTTTCCGTGAATTCTGGATAATTGTCATTTTGATCCTTTATATAGACTGTTATTGGTACGGTGCTTTGCATTGGGTTATGTGGTACAATTTCTTTTGCCGTGATTGTAAAGTTCAGCACTGAAAAGCAAATGTGAACAAATATACGCGCTCTTCGTTTTGCCAATAGTAATGGTCAAGAGTAACGTTACATGGTACATCAGAATATAATTATTTACTTGATATTTGTTCGAAGTCTAGTTTTGAAGGATCCTTAACCCTAATTAAAAATGGAGCCTCGTTGATACCGCGTGTTGGATTAACTTCGAAAATTCCTTGATCGCCTTCGATCATTAAATTAAACGTGCCGTTTGAACCCTGTTAATATGTATAATGAAACTTAAAATTTAAGTATTTTTTATGAATTAAGAAATTTTTTATATACAATTACTTTGACCTACCTTTAATAATGTATTATCATATAATATTATACATAAATCTATGAATTACTCTCAAAGTAGATTTATCTAATACATAATACAATTGAAGTTTATATCAATACAAATAATGATTAATGTACAAATTACAAAGTCTCTAACAAATTATGTATTGTCTTAATATTAACTAAATATACTAAATATCTGTATATATATATATATATATATATATATATGGTAAAGTATTATTTAAAAATATTATTCTATTTTGAAAACATCACAGGAATGCACTATTTTTAAATAATCAAATGAATGTAATTTCAGTAATTTTCATGATTTATAACATTACCGTAATTGATTAAAATGGAAAAATCTCTAATATAAGTTCAACTATACAATTATTACATTATTACTCGCATAGAAGAAATTATTAAAATCAATTAATACAATAAAGGCTTCAAATTAAATATTATTTTAAGCCTATTTATTTAAGTATTTATAAATTTATAACTAAAAGGTAATAATATAGTAATAAACAGTTAGAATGATAATAAAACAAATATAAAGAAAAAAAATTGTAATAAGGACTTATGTGTCTTTATTTATGGACTTACGTTAGACTTTGAAACATATGCTTATAAATATATCGATATTCTTTAATGCGTAAATTTTAACAAAAGGAATATATAATATTAATTACTATTTTAATGTTAATGTATTAACAAATAAATGGCTGTCATACTTATCCAGTATCCTTTCAACTGTTGATTTATTTCTTTCTACGGGGTCGAATTGAAAGAATGTTTTTTGCTCCTCTTTTTTTCTTTCTTTTTTTTTTTTTTTTAAGGGTCAATATTTAAATAGGGAGAATATTTTAAAGATGAATTTTTACCGGCATATATAATTTTTTTTTATAATAAATCAACACATTTTCTTTAAATAGTGGCCATACGTAAATTGCAGTTTCTAGGTAGACCGAGAAAATTAAAGGGAGGACGATTTGTAAATAATCTGGTAATATACAATAATTGACCAGCTCTGACGTACTTACATTATTGGGACAGAACATCTATCTATGGTCAACAGAAACTAGGTTCTCTTTGGTTAGAGGGTGGGCGGGGGATTAAGCGTAAATGCATAATGGAATCAACTCTGGTTACAATTTATATTACAAGTAAACTTGGAGTTTTTAATGTAAACTATGTGAATTCAATGTTAAACCTATAGGCATCACAGTATAAGGCGATGGTGACTGGAACTATTGAAACCCCAGTAGTAATATAGTTTCAACAATGTTCTTTTTCTATATATATATATATATATATATATATATATATAATTCTATGGTGCGAATTTTCTTGAATCAAATAGTATTTCATTATAATGTCTTTAACATAATAAATTTTTTTAATGTGTTATATTGGCTCAATAATGAATCACAAACTAGTTTATAATAAAGTCAGTGAAAGATTTCATTTAAATTTTGAATTTATAGTATTTATAGAGAATTATAATAGTTAGTAATAATTAAGGCTTTAAAAACTTGAATATCCATACGATTCAAATATAAATCTTTTATTGTTAACCTATTGTATCTTTCGGACATGTATTTATTTATTCATCTCAAATAATTCTTAAACGTGTCTGACTAACAGACATGCAAATCAGTCTATAAGTTATCTATGACTATTTCTCCGATAATTTCTTTTAAAATTACATATACTTCATAAATATTCAATTCTCGTGCACGTTCTTATCTTTGAAAATTCAAATAAAGAAATGATATAAGCGAAAATTATAAATTTTACATAAAATATTTATTTTATTTGGCATATTATTTACCTATTAAATAATACATTTCATCTATTAGAATTGCAAAAACTGACGAATAACTTCATTTAACATCTTTATTTTATCGATAATTTGCTATTGACGTATATCGAATTTATTAATTTTCAGAAAGGTGAAATATTAATTTCAATTTTTTGTTTTGTTTTGTTTGACTTACGAATTTCGAGGATATTATTTTAGTGCACCGCTCGAGCATTTTCGACATATATTTTTTCGCACAAAAATCTATCGTTTCTAAAAATATCAAAAATAACGGACTTACCACATCGTGATCGAAGACTTCGGGTATCACATCGCCGATAAAAGTGACAGGGGTATTTTGCGGGGCATTTTCGTTGATCTCCGCGGTATATTTGGCACTCCGGAAGGTCGGTATCTCGTCATTCACGTCCACCAGGATGATAGTGACCTCCGTTGAAACAGATGGTGCCGGAAAGATATTCGAGATCTCCTTGACTGTTATCTCGAGGATAAAGGATCCGTCACTATTATCGGGTGCTTCGCGATCGAGTTGAGCTGTGGTGAAGACTGTGCCGGATGTCGCATCTATGTCAAAGAGATAATGCGGCCCGCGAGTTATGCTGTAATTCACGCGATTGTTGATACCTTTGTCTCCGTCGATCGCTCGAACTGTAATTATAGTGTCGAATTTGCTCAGCTTTCAAAAGTATTATTAACAAGTTCTTGATATAGCAATAATTAATGATATTTCCCTAAGGTGAATCGTTTAAAATCATCAAATAGAACTCTTAATTCCCATGCGAATTAACAGCTTCTTGTATTCCACTTTCTTTAGATTTTTCACGTATTTATTTGCTCATCTTAAAATATCGATCAATTTTTAAAAATATAAAAAAAAATTGTATAAAAAAAATCGAAAGAAAAAGAAACAATTTGTCGTTAGCTCGAATAATGTATTATTATCGTAAGTTTAGTTTTTGCGACAAAAAAAGGCATTTAAACATAATGGAAGCACACAAACGATATTTTTAATTATTCAATCATCAGAATATGCTTATTATATAAAAAAAAACTTTTTTTTTCAATTTAATTAATGAGTAATATGTATTATGATTATTATTCTGTTTTTCTTTTTCTTACCGAGTTACGAAATCGGAAAAAACAAAGCTAATTTCTGCACGAAGAATCTCAAATACAATTTTTAAACTGTAGATAAGCAAATTGAAATTTACATTCTACATATTTAAAAATGCATTTTCAAATGTCTAGTGCGCAAAAAAGAGCAATAGCCAAAGACTGTATTTTTTATAATAGGCCAACATTATCAGCAAAGTGATTGTAAGAACAAGAATTCGGATTTTGGTTTTAGAAAGTGATTTTACCTTGTAAAACTGAAGTGCCAATTCTAGCATTCTCACTGATTCTAGAAACCGGCGTCATCGATATGAATTCCGGTGGTTGGTCTTCGACATCTTGCACTTTAATAAGAATGGCTGTTGATCCAGTATTAACCTAATCCAATTATAAAGCAACAATGAATAATATTTCACCAGTATCGTCGATTTCACCGATTATGATAGAAAAACATTTTATTCCCTAATGATATAAATAATCGCTTAACCTTTTCATTAATAGCTCGGTCGACAGCTAAGATTCGTAATTGATATAGATATTTCTTTTCATAATCAAGTCGCCCGACGAGTCGCACAATCCCCTTGCCGTTGACCGTCGAAATGGCGAAGACTCCATTGTCACCGTCCAGCTCTTGGAGATAATACACGACCTGGCCATGGGCACCCTCATCCAGATCTGTAGCCTCGACCGTCAGTAAAATGCCAGGACTTGCATCCTCGCGCACAGTCAGGCTTGTCGGATGAGGTCGGAACACAGGAATATTATCGTTTATGTCCTCGACGAGTAATAGCAGACTTTGCGTTATAAAGTTGCCTTCGCCAAGCTTTCCGTCCGTCAATGTTAGTATTATTTCGTATTCATCTTTCGTCTGTAATGTAACACAGTTCATAATATTGGGAGATGACATTGTCACTGCTGAGCTTTAATTATATCTAAACCAAAGTAAACAAAAAAAAAACAAAAAAAAAAAAAAAACAAAGAAAAAAAAAAAAAAACAAAAAAAAAACAAAAAAAAACAAAAAAAAACAAAAAAAAACAAAAAAAAACAAAAAAAAACAAAAAAAAACAAAAAAAAACAAAACAAAAACAAAAAACCCAAATAATGGTTTAATAATTTTAAAGAAAGCTAACTTCAAGAGTTTCGTCAATATATAGCGATTAGCCTGTGATATAAGAAATACGCTCTCGCATTAATTTGAATTTATTCTTCCATACTTAAATGATTTTGCAACAGGAAAGTGAATGAATAGCAAATTTAAATTAGTTTAATACTTATTTTTTATAAATTCAATTAGGTCAGTATAAGCACACGTAAATAAATAATTTTCTGTATTTCGTAAAAAAAAAAAAAAAAATTAGAGTAATAATTTACTTGATGGAAAATATCATTTACGATATTTTATTTTTCAAGCTTTATACATAGAAAAATACTTTACTTCATTTATTTTTCATTTGTATAAAAAATTAACATTAATTATAATTATATATTATTAATTGGTATAATGAATATAAAAAGTTAGGTTCATATAGACATTTGAAGAAAAAAAAATCGTTCAAAGAATACAAGTTAAATTTGATAAGAGTTAGCTTAATTAAATCTGTTACTACGATATTTATTGATTATTTTTGGGCAAATTTAAAAAACTGAAAAGAAAAATGCTAACGATCACGACCATAACTTTCAAATATAATTGTAATATCTAGATAAGATGATTATTTATTTATTAAAATATAAATCAAGTCGGGTATTTTTAATTAAATTAACAAAAAATAGAAATTTTAAGAACATGTAAAAACGTTAATTTAAAAATTCCATTTTTTTTTAAATTTCATTTTTAATTTCTTTATTAAGTAATACAAAGTTATTTTTCATTTTTATATTTAAGTAGTAAACATTATTTACTGTATATAATAGAGATTATCGCAAGACTTTTTCACATAATTACATTTAGATTACCGATAAATTTATCATTGGAATATTCGTAGCATAATTATTGGCTTGCAAATTAAACAAAAAAATTAGAGATTAAACATTTACAAATGGGCGCAATAATAAAATTGAATTTGTTAACAATATTTAAATAAGGAGATCGATAGTTTTTGTTTTTGTTTTAATTGATTAATCTTATAGATTATCAGATAGATGAAATTATTAGGATTATAATCTGTTTATATTAAAGATAATTGGCTTTGAAGAAAAATAGTTCTTCTTACAAAGTATAAAATCAACTTAATATATATGAATTATAGTTGAATTCATATCCTCTTTACAATGAAATAATAGCCGGTAATGTATATGTTAGTATAATGGAAAAGTAAAACTAATGCAACAGTATAATGTGAGTTAAATTATATTATTTACAAAGGTGAAATGTTGGTATTTTAATTATTACTCTATCTAAATTTGCTTTTATCCCATAAAAGCATATATTCCGCATCAATCGATACAATTTGATAATTTTATCTCATTTTGATTTTAATATTCTAAAAATATTTCTTTTTCGAGAAAATTAATTATTTCGTGGGTGTTGTTTTAACAATTTGTTTTAACAAATTTTCGTACACGTGTATTTCATTTTCCTACGGCGAATTTTACTTACTATTATGGTTTCCTTATCACGCATATAAACAATGTTGCGACGCCATTGTGAATAGTAAAAGCTCATTCACGTAAGACCGCGAATAATAAAATATTATGACTCGCCGAGTCTAAGGTCACGATAAAAACGCACATCGACCTAAGTGTCGAAGTAGTCTTTATAGGAGCGGCTAACCGATTACAAGCTGCCGGCGAGCTTTGCATCAAACCATAAAAAATCCCATAATTCTCAGTCGTGGCAGTTCAAAAAGACCGAAGGGACAAACGGAGGCCGAAAAGCCAATAAATACTGCCCTCAGTTTTCCACGGATCTTGAAAGACGTTCCTACCAGCCACGACGTTGGAGGCATGTGAGCCATGTCGGCCTAAAAGTCCCTCTCGCCCCCCCCCCCCGTGGCGTCCTCCCATTTAGTTTCGTTCGTCCGAGCTGGTGGCATTGCGTTGGAACCGATTCGACTCGCGGACTTCGGTCTCCAGCGGAGCGAAGCAGCCGTGGATGCACAACTGCAGCGTCTTGCATTATATGGGCGTGTTCTAATCGTACCGAGCGATCGCCTGAGATTCCACGTTTTTGCGCGGCCAGACGCGTCCGTTTGGCCGAAGACCTACTTTTTGACCCATTTTTTCTTGCCCCGAGCTTCTTTTTTCGCTCGTCCGCGGACCGCCCGACGGACATTTACGGACGCTTATTTTACGCGACTCATTATGCCAGCGCGGAAATAGATCTTCTTGCTTATGCGAAACGAGCCTTTTAGCGAATCGCCACTTGGATTTTCTTGGCGTGAGATTTCGGGGGGAGGGAGGATCTTTACTGGCGCGACGTAACTGTAAATATGTAAGAGGCATGTGCGCAACATCGGGAAGGAATGATCTGGTAGGAAGTTATTTTGTGGCTCCTCCGGTACTTTAAGTGCGGTCGTACAATTTTCCAAGATAGTGACTATAAGAAGTGCTTTCGGAAGTTTGCAAATAGATCATTAATGGCAAACAATGTCAAATATCCTTTAATTGCAGCATTATTTTTCATAGCTTTTAATATTAGCGGGCAAAAGCTTTAAAGTAATTGACTACTGCGACTTGTAGGTCCATACTATTGAACTATTAGTAATGGATTTGTTCTTTTAATAATAAAGTACGTGCATTTAATTTCGGGCATGTAATAAAGCATTATTATTCGTGATTTTTGCACAAATTAAAATTGAAACTAAAAGTCAGAAGAAACTGAAAATGTCGTTAAAGGAATATGCAAGCATAACGATTGTAGAAGTAAAATAACAATGTAATCACACTTGCTCGTGTGTAATTACATGGATTATTATTACCTCACTGAAGTATTTCGCAATGACTTTTTATTCGTATTGGTTCAAGTGCATCGTAAAAATAAAGCGGCAAATTAAACCGTATTCAAGGAATTAAAGTTGTGCGTAATCTTTTATGAAAGACCTCAAGTGAAGCTAATATTATTATTTGCAATATTAAGTAAATGGGGTTACAAAGCAGCTCGATTATCTCAAAACTTGTTGTGAACAATATTACCGAGAAGAAGGGAAAATCTGCCCTTATAAGGTTGAAAAGTACAACTAGCTAGTGATATTATATTTTATAATATTTGTAAATCTATCAGCAATTGTTAATCATAAGTATATTAACAAAATTTGACTTGCTTCAAAAATCAGTGACCACTCAATGATTTTTTAGGTAAGGATTATGCACACATACTTGAACTACTTTAAAATACTTTTCTAATATCATATTGTCCAAGAAAGCGGGTTAAATTAAAAAAAAAAAAAAAAAAAAAACTAACAAAATTACACAGCATTTCGTACCTCTCTATCCAGCAGCTTTTTGAGGTAAATATTGGCTTCGTTAGCATTGAATTTCTCAACGCTTATCATATCACTGCCGGGTTGATCTCGAATACCAAATGTCAGGTCATCTCCATCCAGATCGACACCTCGTAATCGATAGATCAGGCTACCTGTAAATCCATGTCGTATAATCAATGAATTTTGCCAGTCTCTCTTAACGCGCTGAAATTAAATCTACTCATTTTCCTAATTAAATGAATGCGTTGTTCATTGATTATCATTCGTATTTATCTTTCAGGATCCCCAATAAAGTGTCACGATACGCAAAAATGCAACAATGACTTTGACTAGAGATCTGATAAGTTTGCTGATGAATCTTATTCGTTTAGGATCTTGATCTTTAGTAAAAGTATCGTCACCAAGATGCCTATTTCTAAAATAAACATTCATCTGGATTTTGAGATAAACCGCAACGTATGCATATTTTATTATAGCCTCTAGCATTCATTTCTTAGAAATATGAAAGTAATACAGAAAATGAATTGAGATTCGCAGATTTGTAAAATTATTAATCTGCACTTTAATGCGATTGTCTTTATACAGTTTTATATATTATACGGATAACTCTGATATTCTTATATACACGATTTTATAAATATTATTTGTTTTTGTTGAAGAAAAATTTGCTGAAATCAGAAATAATCACTAACTGCTTAATCTTACCTCAGCGACTAATTCTTTCATATAATGTTTATACGAATTCTCTCTTAGAAAAAAGTAATTTATTATAAAAAAAAAAAAAAAAATTGTTGTTTGAAACATTTTGATTTTTTAAATATTTTGTCGTATTAAATTTTATCGTCAAAAACTGTTGACTGTTGATGAAAAATAATAATTCATAAAACTACGAAAATATATGTACTTAAAGAAACAACTGTATGCCGCCATTAAAATAAGAAACATTTATTATTTAAAAGGTTTATTTAGAAAAATCACAAAGGACATACAATTGGGAATTTTTAATTTAAGATTATTAGCAATGTAAAATATTATTAATTTGCTTCATACAAATTTCATTAAAGAAATATTAATAAATGTATTTGTATTCAAGAATAATTTCAATCATCGAGATTTATTACGAACTACTACTCTTTATAAAACCATTTTTTATTCCTTCACTGTTCTATCAGAATTACTTAATACAAAAATAAAATATTACGATAGTTAAATAAGTAATATTGAATGAGAAAAGAACATTTTAATAAATCCGGACGGTTGAATTTTAGTTTTACGATGTTTGTTAAAAAAAAAAAAAAGTGGTTTTATTTAACAACTTAATAGTTATGATGAAAATGAAAAATTCTTCGTTTTTGCACTCATTTATGAAGAAAACTTATTAATGGAATCTCAACTTGATCAACATATTTATTTGTTAGTAATTAGAATTATAAATTTTCAACTAACGTTTCGAGTAAAATATGTTAAAAGTTGATTTCAATGATAAAATCATAAATGCTGTGCTAATGAAAACTTAAATCAGAATGCTTTGTAATTTAATTTGACATTAAAATAGCAATATTTGTATTTGAGTAAAGTCAAACTTCCAAATGAATATTGCAAACGAGTCTAAAAATTCAAAAATATTGAAAAATTATTTTTTATGATATTAATTTTTGCTAGTATTTTATTAATTTTTACAATGTTGAAACTATTTTACGGTGTTGTCAAACTAAAAATTTCTTTTACCTTTCCTGCGCAGATCGTTAAATATTTCTGAATCTGAAATTCTTTTAAAGATAGCAACGAATTATTATTATGATAAAAATGAAGTCTTAAGCATATGAATGGTGCAAAAGTATAAATTGTTAGAATATTAAGTAGTTATATAAAGAATTACGAATATAAAATATTTTATCGAAAATTGGTTTAAATTTTAATAGGATATTTCATTATATCATTATTTTAGATTAAAACAAATTGAATGAATAAAATAGATTTTTTTTTGTAATTGACTAATACCCGTAGGTTATAAATGTAAGATATTATTAGCTTCTAATGGAATCTGAAGTTAGTATTAATGAATTGAAAGTACTAGTATCAATAAATGATTTGACAATATGGAGACAAAAAAGTAAAAAATATTTGATTGGATTAAAGGTTTTCTTGAAATTATTGTCAAATAATTTAACAGATAAGCGAAAATTGTAAGTCAATTAAAAAGACTTTTATAATTATTTCAATAAACAAACAGTAGTGAAAAATTGATTAGATTATGCTTATGCTTAAATCGAATTGAAAGTTGATTTAACAACTCAGCAATCTTTCGCCGTAAACATTTAGAATACAAAAAATTGCTATTTAAAATCGTGACTGGCAATTAAAAGTAGATGATCTGCGATAATTTTAAACTGATGGGATCGTAGAGTATCGTAAGTAATGCTTAAAATATCAAAACTGAATGTAATTTCGACATTAGTAAAGCATTCTCGGTTATTGTTGAAAGCTGAAATATTTTCATTATTAGCTTTCTAAATTTGCTGAAATAATAATGTTTTGGAATTGTGAATTGGAACTTCCATATTTGTTATGCAAGTGAGCGTAAGAATATGATATAATGCAAGTGAATCTAGGCAGATGATACAGTTGCATAATGCATGGTAATATGTTGGGAAAGTAGTCACGAAAGTCATATCTTATTTGTACACTCGGGATTTGTTCTCACGCATTCTATTATCTTAATTTAAATTTAGTACAATTTTGACTATTTATTCACTTTTGAAATCATGTAAATAACAAACTTGTTATCCATTCATGATTTCATAAATAGTATTATTATTTCAAAATTTATGAACAGCAGTGCGAAAAATCTCCGTTAATTGCATTAATACGAGACGATGCAAGCTAAGTAAACCGCAATTGTTTTTATTTTTATATGGATTATATGAACACTTACACGTAGAATCGGAAAAATCTCTTCGTTATGAAGCAATAAATTATGAGCTCATTAAATTTTGTCGCACACATTTATAATACGGAAAATTGTTTGCAATAACTATATTTTTTGAAATAACTATATATAATTAATCTATAATCGTATCATAAGGATGAGATGTTCGAATAAGAAGCGTCAAGAATGATTATAAAAAACTTCGTGTCTAAACATCGCGCGTGAAATTTACGAAGAGTCATGAAACGTCGATGACCTTCTAAAAGTATTATCCGAGCATGAACACGCCATGCATTATAATTAAATCGTATTTGCCGATTGCCGTAAACATGGATAGTAACGAAGAAATAGCAGGTATAATTATGGTTACTACGGTTTCGCAGAAAGCCAGGATCTTCGTCGCATTGCGGGCCGTTGTTAAGGGCCCCGCCGTTAGATAATAAACAATAGGCGCAATTCCAGGGCGGAAATAGAACGGCTTGGGCGGTAGGAGGGGGAAGAGGAACGGAGAAGAGAATCGTCGATAATATCTGACAATGGCCAAGTGTGCTGGTCAAGTTGTGGGAGTGGGTAGGGGGGGGGGCGCACTTACCGACCGGCGTTTCCGGGCCTTCCTTCAGCCGCAGTACAATCTCGGATTGTCCGCGTTCCGTGAGGAAACGCGGCGGACTGTTCCTTCCTTCGCATCTCGGTGCGCCGACGACCAGCAGGAGCAGCAGGAGCGTCGGCCTCCAGGCGCCGCTCCAACCGCACCGGCAGGTAAGTCGTGACGTCATGTTGGACGAAGAGGCACCACCAGCCGGCGCATCATTCCCCTCGACATAAGACGAGGTCCTCGATTAGCGACGTCTTCGGCACTGAAATAAGAAGGATAATTTTTATCGACGTCATTGTTTGCGCAGAGTCTGCTGCCGGCGGATAGTCGTTATCGATTAAGTGCTTAGGTTTATTCATCGACTGTCGATCTTTCGTTTCGTTTGCTCTTATATTAATTAGGCTTATCGCGCTAGTTTTATTACGACGTCCAAGGCATTCCCAATGACTATTACTTTAATTTATATTTGTAATATCGATAACGGGATGTTGCCCATTAAAAAGATGGATCTTACTGCAACTGTTCAACTATTATAAGTGACGATGGGTGAATTATTATTATGGGTTAAATTCCATTTATTATACTATAAATTCACTCTGTAATACTGTTTGGCATATTGATTGTTCGATCAATTAGGATGAATTAATTAACGATTAAATAATAATTTTCCAAGATATCATTATCATTCATTACAACGGATTGATATTCACAGTCCTAAGGATTTTAAATAATAGATTAATATGCGTAATCCGCAAAATTAAAAAAAAAAACAGCTTGTAATGAATTATGCGAATAACTATGCGGTTATTTATAAAATAAAATTTATAAAATAAATACTACTACTGAATACATGGTCTACTTGTTTCCATTTAAAATGCTAAATTTAACGTTACATTTTCTGTGTTATACATAATTTATTCTAGGATCTTGTGCGTGCAGGAATTTATAGGATAATTAATTTTGTAAAGGCTCCAGTTTTGCAATAGGAAGGATAGGTTAAATAGCTTAAATATATCTTTATTAATAATGACTATTATTATTATTATTATTATTATTATTATTATTATTATTATTATTATTATTATTATTGTTAATATTTAAAAAGAATAACTGATTAATTACCAGTTCTAAAAATCTTGATGCATTATCATAATTAATCATTTATTTACATGTGAATTATTGTCAATATTCATATCCTTATTTATTATTAAACGAGGATTATCACATTTGAAATATTTATAAGCAATCCCAAAGTAATACATTCGTTATGTATTCGTTCGTATTAGTAATGCTTCGTCGGTGGACATCTCTTGCGCTCACATACGGCTCCAAGAAATTCTTTTTCGTACTAATCGAGCCAACGTCAGCTGCACTAATAATAACGTCATTAACACGAGGAGCGACAAATAATTTATTGGCAGTGCTCCTACTTTCTATTAATTACCGTATGTTCCGACTTCATAGAACGCGCGACTCCCCCTTGGCCCGCACCTGCGGGATAATCGCGTTTGTGCGCCCGACTACGGGGATGATCCACTAACACCGATGATCCTCAGTCTCGGCAGCTCCTTCCACTTGCTCCACATACGTAGATCGCAAGGACACGATATAGAGGCATACAATGGCGATTATAGTGCAGGACGCTGGGAGCGCGTGTCACTTTCGCATCTTTGATTTGTGGCCCATAAACCAGAATCCATTCATACATTCATATTGTGTGTACAAGTTGGCACGACGTGACTAATTAGAGGGGAGAGACTTCCCAGAGTGCCGAGCTGTCTCGAGCAGCGATAATTAACTGCGAATTGAGGAAAAAAGGGGGTGTTTTGAGGTCGGACGATGAAACGTCGATGCGATTTCTTATAAGTTTCTATGGCTCTACTTTGGTGAAAAAGTCCTCCGGGGCTTTCGTTCGAGATGATTAGTACTCGCGCGTTCTTGTGCGCGCACAATTTATTCTTTCGCAAAAGAAATTCGTTAGTTTTTACAGGCCTGTTCGCGCCCCTCCTCGTTCTGCCGTAGAATCGAGCGGATAATTTTTAATTGAAACTGCCCGTCTCATCTCGGAAATCGTTACATCACAATGATTTATAATCAATATAATGACATTAAGTCGATATTATAACATTAAATTATCCAATTGTGAATTATGAAAACGCCAAAATTCAAATAAAATCGTCTACCAAATTTGTTATATTTTTATATTCATATTCAATGTATATAATATAACATGATACTTCTTAATTTAAATCAAATTAATGTTCTCTAAGTAGTACAATCTTTATACAAGTCTTTATATAAAATATATTTTAAAATCCACTCTTTCTTCATTTTTTTTTTAATACTATCATATTAATGGTTAATAATAATCCTTATCGATGTGGATACAATTAACAGGTAAAATTGTCAATAATGCCATAATAAAGTAAAATTAATCTACATCTTTGAGCATTTAACTACATTATCCATTGATCTAATTTAAACAATGTACTTTGTTATAAATTATTTATTATAAAAAAATGAAAACAGAAAACGAAAAGAAATATGAAAATAGTAATTCATACCGTTGTGAAACATAATCAATTTAGTAGGTAACAATTATATACTTTTTCACATTATTCGACCATTAAAATTAGCAAATGGAATGTGGTAAAAGCTTGAATTTTCTGCAATTTATGAGCTGGAACAGTTTTGATAGGCATAAATAGATAGAATAGAAATGGGAAGCGATCCGTTTGTTGGAATATTACTATATGAATTTGTTTTATATTTTCAGAATGTAAATGTTCACTTTCATTATTTAGCTATTTATTCCTAATTCCAAATGTGTAATATATTCGTGAACTAGTTTCTTTAAAACAGGGTATTGTAAAGTAATTGTAAATGTGATGACAAACAATCGTATTTACTTTCTCGAGCATAAACTCACAATGAAATGACTTTCATTGTCCTAGATAATTTTTATTATCCTCGGGGCTCTTCATGTTTATTCAGAAGTCGTCTTTGGAGGACGATAGTAAATAAGAAACGGTAACTTAAAATAATCAGATCGGACTTATTTATAGGCAACAAATTTTCTTTTCGTAGAATTAGAGTAATTCCAAGAGTATTTGCTCCAGAGCGTCGAGTTAATTGTTTTTTCTGCTATCGCTTCGATTCATCGTGTGTACGTGAAATCATGAAACAGTAAATGATTCGCTAATTTGAAATGTCATTTTGACGGGTTAGTTCAATGCACATAGTTTCAAATTTCCTAGAAAGTCAATAAATCTGATGGCCAGAAAATTTCCTTGTATGTGCCGAAATGAATGGCAGTTCGCAAATGAAATTTCTCGTAGTAATTAAGTGCAATTGCACATTGTCCATTGCAAAGAGGAGCGTGAGTATAACGTGTGATTGAATTTTCCTTAACTTTACATTTAACATAGGCTATTGATAATTAGCTGCAAATGATCCATTTAATATTCTTATTAGTCAATGTCATTTTCTGAGATAGAATTTTCCTTGGGTACCTAAATATATTAGTATTTTTACTATAATTATTAATACTTTTGTTCAACATGAAAAAAGGTATATTAGTTTGAAAACTATGAAATTTTCATATTAATTTAACTCATTTATGATTAATCATTATTAATTATAATACTGATATAGCTGATAATTTTATCAACAGCTTCGAGTAAATCTGCGTCCCGTGCATTATATGTTATATATGATAGATCAATGCGATGCGAAATTTGATAATTCATCAATCTTTTTAAAGCTTATTTTGATCGATTTCAATCAGTACGTTTCCATCTGTTTCGTATGGTACATCCTCCGTCCATATTTCTATTCTTTTCTAAATCACAGTTTGATTAAAAAAAATCAGTAATGTAAGTGACTTTTGTCCGTTAAAAATTTTCAAAAGAAAAAAAAGAATACATTTATGCTCTTCAAGTATGGTCATGGTAAAGTTTTAATTTAACGTAGAAAAATTCTTGTGACTAGCATGTGAACGAGAACGAAATAAATCGAAATATTTTTTAATGTCCCGTTTCTAATTGAAATAAAAATTCACCTTTTACATCGGCTATCGCAGCAAAATATAATGAAAGTAAAATTTGAAACGTCAATGTGCCATTATTTTTTGAGATATTATTCCTCTTTATAACTGAAATTTGTTAAAATTTTTAGACAATTGAGAGAAGACGATGGTATTAAAAAAATAAACAAAAAACAAAACAAAACAAAACCAATAAAATAAAAACCAGATAAACCAAAAAGAAAGAAAGGAACAAGATGAAAGACTGAAAGTAAAGTAAGTAATTTGAAATAGCATAGAAAAGGCCACTGTCCGTTATAGGATGCAGTTTCTTTAGTAATAACTCACAAAACTCCGAGAACTAAGATTCCGACTCACACTTTATTCATGTTTCTTCGCAGTCGTGGCGTAAAAAGCTCGAGAGCGTAACTCCTGATCATCCAAAAGCTCGGCCAGCGAACACCACCCCCATAGTCCCGGCTAAAACAGGAAGGGGAGCCTCGACTCGCGTGCGAAAACATCTTCATCGACGCGCGGAGTAGCAGTTTTCCTTTCCCAGAAGTCGAATGCGAGGCGACTTGGGGACTTGGCTCAGAACTACGTAGATCGTAGACGACTTTCTCTCGAGTCCGACCTCCCCCGCGCCATCTTAGACAAAGGGAGGAGCAGCGCCAATCCCAATGTCATGATTGTCACTGCGAGTTGACCGCGAGCCTCGCACGCGCTGTAATTGGAGTAGTGAAAGCCGACAGCATCGAGGTTTTCTCACGCCGAGGGAAGCCGGCCGTTGCTCGGGATCGCTGCTCTTTTCTAAATGTCCCAAACCATGAAATCTCATTGTTGGAGCCCCACCTACGGTCAACCGACGTTTTTTTTTTTTTAAACCTTTGCGTTTATCTTGCGTAACTTGTCCAACATTTAATGACGGTCACCGTGTCCACGGCTAACTTGACGCTTCCAAGTATTAGTTCGATGCTGTAGCTTTGGTTACATTAGGACTTGGTGCACGTAAGCGCGAGACTCGGAATTTATGGACACTTAATGGTTAATTATCAACTAGTTGTGCGAGTGTATAAGCCTTTTTAGAAATGAAATATGGATACTGCATTGCTTGATTACGAATGAAATGTGTCACTTACTATGGTTAAATGGATTTTCGTGACTATTGCTTATAATATAATTATTATATTTTATAATTTCGTTGCTATTTATGTATTCATAAT